AAAAAAATTCCTGTACTAATCGTCCCATTATATTATTCCTTAGATATTCACACAAACATATGATTTGTACCATCTAATTATTGGCAGGAGATACTACACTACTCTAGTTATACCCAGCTATTATTCCCTAGATAAAATCACTAAACACTATTGTTCAATACTCGAACATAATTTAACATCAAAGATGGGATATCTAGCTATTAAGGTAGGTTATATTTATAAATATTTTATTTAAAAACTCTTATAAATTACATCATGTATTATGGAGAGTATATATTTAAGTGGTTGTATTATACTTTTCGAAATACATAATATAATTTATAAAAATAATCTTACTCTGAGTTATTTACTGTAACATGACATTAAAAAGATTAAATCCTTAATAAAATAACATCATCTTATCTGCTTGTGTCCCTCCCTTAGTGCCAAACATTGTAAAACAATCAAGCTTCTTTCACTTACCTGAAATCTACAGTGAAATCGAGTTTCAGGAACCTGGGTTGAGCTACAGCATCAAATGTGCTTAATTGAGAGAGAAAAGAGTTTACCGGATGCTAAAACTCTACAATGAAAGACTTTAACTAAAGCATGCTATGCTGTAGGATACCAAAAAAAAAAATAAAGCATGCTATGCTGTCTCCACATTCTTCTTTCTACAAACAGAAACAAAAATCTTAATTCATTTGTAACAGATATCTCTAACAGATAGGAAGATATCTTAAACTAGGTAAGGCCAATATTTGAGGCAAATTCAAAACTAGCTATTCCCACAAGGTTTTTGTTATCATAATCTCTTGAACAGGAGATGTATCTTTTCAATTTCTATTTGTAACCTATAGCTTCAAAGAAAGATAAATGGCTGTTCCAATATAAAATGGATGAAAGAGACTTTAGTGACTGCAGATATTCCAACTCCAAGATTGTGCTACAAAGTCTTGGATCATCACTAGCTAATAGTGCTATTGAACTGTTTCCTTCAACTACCGTGATGGCTGAATGGCTTATATCATTTTTTTTTTATGATAATTAGACCATTTTTAAAAAAATTATTTAACTATCATAATAAATTTAATTATACTCTTTTAATTACAAAATATACACACACAAATGAACCCTTATTTGTTGTAGTTACTTAAAAAGTATTCCAACTTCTCAACAAATCAAGCATTAATTTCTTACTGTGTACCAAAAAAAAAAAAAAAAAGCATTAATTTCTTTCTTGGATGGGAAAACAAGAAAAACAAACTTAAGCATGAGGTAAAGACACAAACGTCCAGCCATTTTGGCGGTATTCAGTTCCTAAATAACAAGATTCTATCCATTTCCTGAGATTTCGAGCTCTACGTTACTTCCATAATCTCCATCACATTGTGCAATTTTGTTGTATAGACTTAAAACAAAAACAAAAACAAATGACAACTATATTACTAAAGAATTACTTCCAAAATCTAAATCATTTACAAAACCACTTGGGTTAAAAAAATACACACAGAAATTTATCACAATAGATTTAAGTGATAAATAATATAACCATAATTTTTTTAAAATAAAATAAAATAAAATCATGTCGTATCTATTTGACATGGACATATGCAATCTACTTACCATAGTTAATGCACATTTAATAGCCCAGGTTTATAGACAACCAATGAAATGCACCTATAGGGGAATAAAAAAAAGACTATAATAGCGATTCACATGACAAAAGCATTACATGGACCAATATGTAAAGCCCTGGGAGGGAAGCAGCAATAGAAAAATCAAATAATTTACACCGAAAAATGGAGCCATAACAGATCTAAAGAGAAAAAAATAATTGCCTGAATTGTATGAAAGGGGTATTATACTATTATCTATTATACTATGCAAGAGAACTAACCACGTAAATTAAGGGTTTTTGAAAGGAAACCATTACATTTACACCTAGAATTATCTGATTACTTTAATTGGAAAAAATATCACATAAAAAGAGAAGAAAGCGACGGTGGCGGTGTGCAAATACACGTGTATATGCTGAGAACCATAAAATCCAGTGATGAACTTAGATTTTGTTGGCAATAACTTAGTGGGATGTAAGTGGAAAGTTATATGGCTAAGATTTTTCCATAACCATTATAACATTTATATTTTATAACTGGCAGTTCCTGACTTAGTTATCTTCCAAAAAATCGTCATGATTGTTACGAAAATATTTTCGAGAAAAAACGATGCTTTGATTTTGCGCCAAATCAATTTGTCTTCTACATTTTAGGAAGAAATGTCAACGTCCTTTATATACGCATGATCCTTCTAAAAAAGCACTGAGATAAACTGAAAAAAAAAAAAAAAGATCTACACGAAATTAACTCATGAGAAAATCTAACTAACGCAGAAAATTAATGGAAAATGACAATTGCTTATAAATTTATTGCAACTATAAGGTGGATTTATCTAAATATATTATTTTTAAAAATCACGGTAAACCGAAGGTGTTATTCGACAACTTATATATGAATATTTGTAGCAGAAAAGTTTATATGAGAGTTTGATGGGACATATAAGAATATACGTGCAGGTATTATATATTACTACAAATTAATTAAGCAAATGCCGATAAAAAAACAAATTAACCAAGTTGATAAGCGAACTTTTTGGTAAAAGCGTGAGAGTTAGAGGATAGAAATTAGCAAAAACGAAAGTAAATATGATGGGAAAAATGTTTCTGTAGTTAATGCAGATAAATTATCTCCATTTATTTTCAAAACGATGTCGTTTTGTTAATGAAATCTTAAAAAATTATAAATATAAAGATTATTATAACCTTGAAATAAATTAAAATTACAAAAATACCATGATTTTTGCCCCAAAACTACGTCATATTGGCTTACTGCAGATCACTTATGTGCAGTAACTGCAGAAAAAACGAACACATATATGATTAATTGTTAATGACCGAACAGGAATGTTTTCAAATAGTAATTTTAGCCTTTTTTTATTGTTTTACCAAACAAGGATGCAAATTATGTTTTTATATATAAAATGTTTGTCCTTTTAAATGATGTAATGTTATGTCATTTTATATTTTAATCATTGATTTTCGTTCATCAACGGTTATAATTTATTGGGTCAAACTTATTAATTAGTTAATTAATAAGTTTGACCCAATAAGTTATACAATAAATTATAACCGTTGATTGACGAAAATCAACGGTTGAGATCTAAAATAACATAATTTTACGTCCTTTCAAAGAACAAATATTTTTTCCTTTTATATATTCCTTGATTTAATTTCTTTCATTCGTTACTACCCAGTTCCATTTTTGGCAAATATACAAAAATTGTCTAAAGCATGTGAATTAATTTATCACATTGGATAGCTTCTTTAATTATTATATTTTTTATTAATTGTAAGTGAATGAACCTGTACCGTTGAGATCTATAAGCCCACTATGTTTCCTTTGGGGATAGAGTCACTGTATGGATGATACCATTAGCACAGGTAAAGACCAAGCTAAGAGGCACTGTTCCAAGTATGAAGCAAGCAATCAACAATGGGGTTTGGTGTGTGACTCAATGTAAATGGACAGAATAACGATACATAAGTTTACGTGCTCTTCCATGTCTAGAGGAGTATTTATAGATGAAGGTCATGTTGAACTTCGGGGGGTTCAAGAGGGGAAGGTCAACTCTTCTTGGGTTCCGTCGGGGGTGGCAGGTACTGCCGAGGGCGGCAGGGACTGCTATGATCGCAGTGACGCACCCCCTGCGCCTGGCGATTGTCAGGATGGGGCAAATGACAGTTGCCTCTTATGACATCTGGGTGGTCTCTTTTGGGGGTTATAGTCCCTAGACGAGACATTTTGGTGTCTCACCTGAGGAGCATCATTATATGGGGTTCTGTGTGGTGACAGGCTGATAGGACTGACGTGGATAGGGTTTTGGGCCCTAACCTTGAGCCCCAAGGTTATTGGGCCAACCGGAACAGAACTTATAACTTTTTATTTATAAATTCCACTCCACCTTCATACTTTATAACCTAAATCAAGTAATCAGTAGATTTTTTTAGAACCTCTATCACGTGGCATTCTTGCGGATTAAAAATAAAAATCATTTTAAGTTGGTTTTAAATTCAAGGATAAATATTTGAATTGATTATAATTGCTGGATTGCTTTTAATTCCCTGAATTAAATGGAAGCCAAAGGATATGTTCTTCCCTAGCCTTTAATTTACAGTACATCAAGTATTTTCACTGGAATCTTTAGTGAAGGTTTTTCTTTCCAAACAGTTAGCGTTTGCGTTCAGAATTTTGAAGAATCTCGATTAAGGACTTTATGCTAACTATTCAAGTTGGGAATCATAAATTATAGCTGATGATCAAGTCCTTGCCTTTCACTGAAGAACACATCCATGCAAATTCACAAATGATACTCCAAACTACTCGAGAATTTATGGCAGCAAGAAAGCAAACCTTATCAATATGTAAAATGACACAAAAACTTGTCAGTGTTGGTTACTTGTTTAGTTTGTCAAATACGAAGAGGATAAAGTTCTTCTAATCCTTTCTTTGTATTTTCTTTTATACCTATAGACATCAACATTATATACGACAAAATATTTTCAAAGTCTAAAACTTTCAAGTCAAACTTGGGGACGTACGTTTGTAAGTTTTTTTTTTTTTGACAATACGTTTGTAAGTTTTGAAAAAGAATAATTTGAAACGTAAACTTGAGTTTGAAGAAGGGTACATGAATTTTCTTTTTTTTTTTCTTTTTTTCTTTTTACCTTGTTTAAGCAGAATACCACTTCAAGCAACCCCTTTGATTGAATATCTATCAAGCAAAATTGTAACTCTTTAGTTATTAGGATCATGATCAGTTTAAGTTTAATGTAACCCTTCTCCAAAGCAATCCGTATCTAGCTCTCTAAGATTATAAAAAAAAAAATTAATTAATACTCTTGACAAAATAAATACATAACTTGAAAAAATTCTTGAGTGAGAGAGAGAGTGTGTGAGAAAGGAAGAAAATACTTAGCATTACAAATTATACATCAATATATTAAGATTTTCATTGGGCCTATAGCAACTTCAAAGCTTTATATATATGGCTAGCAAGCTCTAGCTATATCTACCATATATGCATACACACACCAACGTTAAGACAATTATAGATAGTAATATTTAATATCATACTATTACTATCAAGAGGATACACCATGCCATTACATTTTTTTAACCATGGCTGGTTTTGCCCCTAGACGCCGAGGGTGAACGGTTATTGCCACTCCCTCCTCCGAAGCCGCCACCACCAGAGTTGCCTGAACCAGTTCCCGACCCATAACCACCACCATGAGCATCACCACTACCAGACCCATATCCATACCCGGATCCAGATCCAGACCCGGTTCCAAAACCATAGCCAAAGCCTTTACCAAAACCTGATGGAGAGCGCCCTGACCCGGAACCATAACCCCAGCCAGTTCCGGGTCCGGACCCCCATCCCCAACTATAGTCCCAGTTTGCACCATGGCCCGAACCGGTGGCACCCGAGGGGGTTCCAGACGGCGGTGCACCACCACTTGCCATATCAAATCGGAGATTTCTTCCGGCTGCCGCCGTGGAAGTGATAAAAAAGACAAGAAAGAGAGCCAAGTGTTTAAGAGTGTTGGATGATAGCATTTTGTGAGAACTGAGAAGTAGGTTTGTTTTTTGTTTTTTGTTTTTTTGTTGGAAGAGAGAAAAAAAAAAAAGTGGGATATATATATTGTGAATCTTGTGAAGTTTGACGCGTTGGGTGCATAGTGCATGAACTGATGAAAGTGGCTTATATAATGGTTTTCATGATAAATGAGGTATGACTCATAAGAGAGAGACACAACCCGTGAACCCGAGTTAGTGCAACACTAATTTACTTTTCATTTTTGTGTTTTTTTTTTTTTTTTTTTCATTTGAGAAATTCGAATTCCTTTAATAATATAATATTTTTGTGCTTGAGAGATAGAGAGAGAGAGAAGAAGCACTAGATAGTAACAAGCGTGACCTGATTTCCACCACCGACTTTCTGGTAATTGACAAGCCTAACACAAGTTGTCACGCTACCATTTTTGTGTTGTTTAGGAAAATAATAAATGAGTAATAATATTCCCTACTATGAAGATTTATAAGGAAAATAAAATAAAATAAAATTAAATACGTATATATCTTTATCTCCGAAAGATAGAACTGGCTTTAATTTGAGGTTGATGATATTATTCTTCACTTTTTGATCTTCTCAGGTTGGAGTTGGAGGAAACTTATCCGTTAGATATTGGACATGATAACGACACGTATGAGATATTAAATGCGGGATATTTTGTTAGTGAGAGTTTGTGTGTGGAGGAGGCGTGGGGAATTGAAGCATAGATGCATGTCGACCATGAGATCTTACAAGTTACATATATACGTGTTCCCGCCACTAATACTATGCTGCTTTTTCTTCCTCTTTTGTTTTATTGGATAAATATCTCCCTCTCTGTTTATTCCATCATGTCCCCACCCTCAACGGCTACTTTTCAATCTCTGCGTTGCTAAATTTGAACTATATATTATTGCCTTGAATATGGTTAAATAATAAATTTAGTTGGTAAAAAGATGTGCATCGGTCGAACCGAATCGAATTTTTTGAAAAATCTAACCGAATTAGTTTAAATGATTCGGTTCGAAAATGGTTCAGTTCGATTTAAAATTGGTTCGGTTCGACCTTATTTTGAAAAGAAAAAAAAATTTAAAATTTAAAAAATAAAGTTGTAAAAATCAATTCGGTTTAGTTTGAAAACGGTTCGGTTCGGTTCGGAAACTGGTTTTAAAAATCGGTTCGGTTCATGAACTGATTTTTAAAAATCAGTTATTTTAAGGGCAGTTCGGTTCGGTTCAGTTTTTTTGATTATTTTGCACACCCTAGTAAAAATAATTAAAAATGATAATAATAATATTATTATCATTAACCAACAAACTTATACTTTAATCAGCGCCAATTGAAGTTAAGGTTTAATGATTATGCAAGAGAGATTTGATCGTCTATCAAATTGCTTATTTCTTTTCTTTTTTCTTTTTGGAAATATTTCAATCGGTTCATTGCTTCGCAACTAATCCGATTCGAGGCGGGTTCAAGATTAAGGCTTTAAACCCCTTCCAAAGGTGGTACTGGGAAGATTCGAACACATGCTCTCGCCCCCACCTGCTTAGCTCCCATGCACCAACTGAGCTACCAACATTTGGTAAATTGCTTATTTCTTTATTAATTACCAAATGTTTACAACCCTGATATTTAAAAAAAAGAAAAAGAAAAGTAATATGTAATAATTGATTTGAAATGTATTAAAACTAACAAAATTAAATTTTTCTTACATATGTTACATATCTAATGAGAAGTGATATGAACTAATATTGATAAGTCATTAATCTTATATGAATGGTCAATATTAAATTTAATTAAAATTAATCCTAACTGATAATTTATTAAATGAAGTGTCAAATGATAGTATAAAGAAATTTTACACTAAAATTAAATTCTAATATATTGTATTGTTTTCTTTTTAGGATAGGCCATGACTTATGTTTGTCTAAAATCTTGAGAGCGCAAGTTCCCCTGACACCCAATAGCTCACATGGAAGCATGTGATCAACAAAGTTGGGCTACTTTCGAAAGAGGCCCACTATAACAGTTAAGTTGATCTATGTTTTGACTTTTGAGTCTGTTTGGGCCCATTGCAACCAATTTATCCAAGCCAGTTTCAAGATTCCTCAATCCACTTTCATAGTGGACCCATATATAGCGCTCAATGTGGACCTATGGCCCAAGCCATGTGCACAAGTACAAGATATTTCTTAGGTGTTGTTATAATATCCTGACTCTTTTTTTTTTTTAATACATATATGCTGATTTTTTTACTCAAATACAAACCATTAATAAAGTGAAAAATGTTTGTCCTTTTAAATGACACAACTTATGTCATTTCACTCTCACAAAGAGGTGAGTCTCACACCTTTATTTTTTTTTTGTCCGCTTTCTCTTCCTCATGATCTATATCTTTCACTCACTTAAAATGACACAATTTTACATCCTTTAAAATAACACACATTTTTTCCATTAATAAATTGGTCTAATTTTTGTCATTTTAAAGGACATAAAATTATGTTATTTTAAGTGAGATAAAAATACAAGCAATAAAAATCATGGGAGAAAAAATGAGTGATTTTTTTTAATATTTAAATTTTAAATAAAAATATATTAAATTGTGTCTTTCTCTCGTTTGAAATGACATAACTTAAATTGAGTTTTACAATGCTTTTTTACTCAAGCCAAATGAATAACGGCATCCCTAAAAAGTTTTACACGTTTTAATGTTTTACATGTTGATTAAAAATAAATTGAAAAAATAATATAAACTATTAGTAAAGTTTTTTAGTTCTACTTTCCAACACTTCATTACTTTGTGGAACAGTCATATCCAAACTATAATGCCTTGGTGCTGAGTAATGCAAATGAAATGAATGATATTACATGCATATGCACTAGAGCTACAACCCCTCAATGTGACTGTGTGTACGTACCCATGTTGATGGCCATTTCAGAAAGAGGATGACAACCAGAAAGTTGGTGTTACACTCTGCAAAGATCTTAAGGCCATATTGACAAAAAAAAAAAACAAGTATAGAATTATATCAATATTCTAAGAAAATTTTAAGACTTGTAAGAAGCATTTTCTAAGATTGAAGGGCTTTGTGTCTGCTTTCTGAATTCCTAGTCACATCACTTGGGCCATTAGTCCTCCCCATCTCAGACAAATTAAAGCTTTCGACAAATGTAGTGGTAGATAGGATGCAGAAGAGTCTTGCGCTTGATGATACACACAAGCCTGCAATGTTGACACAAACACATTACAGGTTTGGGAACACATAATCTAATTGTGTAGACTGTGAAGTGTGCGGTATGAATTGGTTTGGCTTGTTGAGAGGCCACGGGTAGAATAAAGAGCATTTGGGGTTGGATTCAAGCGTAATAGTACAATGTGGCTTGCTTTGAAAAAAAATAAAAATTCCATGAATTTCCTATTCAAGTTGTTTATTAAACTCTAGACCATTATTAATAAATTTGGACAGGTCCGACTGGGTCTATCTGAGAATCGGTGAATCGATCATATAATTGGTCCAGGTGAAGCAGCAGATTGGGCATGCATTGGATCCGATGCGATCCGACCAATTTTGGTGAAAATCGATAACCCAGTCGGTTAACCGATTACTTGACCTGGTTTATTTAAAAAGAAATTCCAAAAAAAAAATTATAATTGATATATGGGTTTGATGTTTTTCATTTTAAATGACATAAGTTATATTATTTTAGGAGAGAGATAGACACAAGAAATGAGAATCATAGTAGAGAAAGTGGGTAGTTTTTTTTTAAATTAAATTTTATATAAAAGAAATTGTGTCTATCTCTCTTAAAATGACATAACTTTATATCAATTAAAATGGCAAATACTCCCAACTACCAAAAAAAATGACAAATATTTTTCCCTTGATATATTTGAATGATCTGTTGCTTATTGACTTACATAAATTATATACCTACAATATGTATATTATCTCAGTTATACACTATGCAGAAAATTTTGATTTAATTTATAGTTAAAGTTGTCGTTTACTAAACCTAAAACACCATTATCACAACCATTATATGTTTGTTTAATTTTTTATTGGACAATGATGTGTAATTTATTATTTTTATATCAAAGTATTTAGAATTTATATTAATTTTTTAGTTATTTGAGTATGTTTATAATTTTTTTAAGGGTTTTCGTTTTATCCTTTAACATAACACAACAAACTTTCCTACACTCACAACATTTTGTGGGGCCCACACTTTTTAAAACAAAAAAATAAATAAAAAATTAAGGCACGCAAAACGAATCTCTATAACATTACACAATTACTTTTCCTACAACATAACTCTTATAAAACCCTTTTTTTAATATTAATTATAAATTTACATATAATCACTGAGTCTTGCGGTTGAATTAGTGACTATTGGTTGAACCAATGACCCGGTACCTTGACTGGGTCAATGACTGGGTCAGTTTTAATTACATTGCTCTAGACCCATGCAGCATGTGTTCGATCCTCTCCATTATCGTCTTTGGGAGGGGTTTAAAGCCTTAATACCGAGACTTGTCCCGAATCGTACTCTTTACGAAATAATGAACCGATTGAAATATCTCCAAAAGAAAAAAAAATGTACAAGGATGTACTTTATTTTTAATACTACAAAATTACTGAAAATATTTAAAATATAAATGTCCGTTAATTAGCAAAGCTTTTTTTACCTAATGCTCTTACTCTTAATTTAACCTGTTTATTTTCTTGTATCTTGCTTATTTGAAATCACTGATTTTAGAAATCGATTTGATTTATAAATTAAATTATTTATTTGAAAGCCTTAAAATACAAATTAATTTAATTTAAGATGTGTGCATTTGAAATCCATCCAAATTTTATTGGATTTGAGTTCATAATTCTACTATTATTTATTCATCGTACCTATTATAATTAAGGCTATGAAAATAAAGGGCATGTTTGAAATCTGTTTTGAAAAATAATTTTTTTATTTTCAAAACAAACAAAAAAATACATGTTTGATAAGGTCTATTTTGTAAAAAAAAGTTTTAAAAATTGTAGCTGTTTTTTTTTAGAATCAAAATCTATAGAACATATCTAAATTGTTTTTGTTTTGTGTGTTAACTTTTAACTTTTAAAACAAAAACAAAAAAAAAACATAAAAAACACATATTTCATTAACAATTCTGCAAAATAGTTTTAAGCAGTGTTTTAAAAATCGACTCAGATCAACCCGAGTCTCGGTGACCTAGTGG